TTCTGTCATATCCTTTAACAAAGCCTTAACAAATATGGCATAGCCGATTTTGTAATTTAATTTTCTAACGAAAAATGCCATAATATACCATGAGTTACATTTAAAATTCGAAAGTTGACGTCACTTGGCCGAAATTGGAGCAAAAATGGTGGAATTGGATGACAGTGGTAGAAGCGGCACAAAAAGTCACCTAGATCCTCAAAATTTCAATTATTAGATGACGCGTTCCGAAGTTATCACCTGGGACAAACGTCGTGGGACACCCTGTATATTACCTTTATTATATGAAATTTACCATTCAGGTTAAGTACTGTTAGGTACTTCAATTTTAAGTATTTACCTATACCATCTATATTATTCCATAATATTAAATTTGCCCCTCAGGCTATGTATTGTTACTTCAAATTTAATTATTGATCTATATTTCGCTAATAACTATCCCATGAATACATGCTGCACTGAATACAGGAAATTCTTGTACACTGGAGTTAAATGGCCATTTACGAAGGTACTGCATTTAATAAGCTTATTTATTAATTTATATTTCAGGTATCATTGCTGTTCATTGATATACAATACTCTTTATTTCTTTATTTAGGGACTCAAGTTGAGTGTAATTGATAATTATTGTAAATACTATTTTAAGAACATATGGTTAGGTACTCCGAGACGATTTCTTTTCTTGTTCTGGTTCCAGTGTGAATAATCTTCAGTGTTCTAGGGCGGTTGGAAAACCCACTCCGAACCTGCTCTGGAGTCAAACCTGTTCTGTTCTGGTTCTAATTAAAAACCCGTACCTGATTGTAGCAAAGCGTTTCACTTTTGTCCTCCCTTCTTGTTTACGTTTATATTTCAGGTTGCGCTGCTATAGGTCCGTAGAAGTTTCCTGCTTTCGTTATATCGGTTGATTTCGTGTACTACAGGGAAAAGCAGGTGGCGCTCTATATTTAGTTATTTAATTGACCCATACCCCTCTCCGCATTGGAAGCTAGTCGGCAACCTTTCACACGAAGTCACGTTTCTACTTTATTTTTTCCCAAGATAGATTTTGACATTGAAAACTTTGAAATATAAACAATAACGCTTGACCCTGATTGGTCGCAAAATGAGGTGTTTCTGCAGGTTAACATCAGTTTTACAATAGCGACCAATAAGCGGCATTAGCGGCATTGTTTATGTTTCAAAGTTGACAATGCCAAAATCTATCTTGGAAAAAAATAAACCATAGTTCATTATTTACCTTTCAATCGTTTTGTGGGTAACAAATTGGCAGTGTCCGTGTTTCCACGTAACAGAAGTTCCGCTTGAAATATGCTTGGTGATTTACCCATTGGCTCCGAGTATTTGGTCCGTGGCTCGAATACTCCGACTCCAGTTCTCTCGGCCGTTTTGGAACTGTCTGTGTACCATTTGATGGTGTTTGCTTTAAGGGATTGTATAGATTCCTTGTTCCACCTGTTTTTTATACTTAGTTCGATGAAAAAGTTTTTCTCGAAACTGAATCTATCAACAATCACGTCTTTTGGTAGATCCATGAGGTGTGCACAGTTTTGGAGAGGCAAAGTTCTGCGTTTTCCCTTGCAGACCTCTCTTCTGCAGTCTAAGACATCTACTGGCAACCCGCTTTACTATTATGTGGAGTGATGTGAGGTCTAGAATGATTTCTAGTGCCGAGGTTGGGCATGATCTCATTGCTCCTGTTATACAGAGAAATGCGAGTCTTCGCACTTTTCCTAGGGTTTTTACATATCTGTTACTAACTGGATTCGGTTATACCAGGCTACCTCTCCGTACGCGATAATAGGTCTCACTATCATGGTATATCCATCTTAAAATTGATGGATTACAACCCCATGTTTCACCCGCAATATTTTTGCAGACCATGAGTTCCGAGATTGCTTTGTTTTTTGTTTTCTCTGCATGTCGGTTCCAGAGAAGTTGAGAATCTAGGGTTATTCCTAGGAATTTAACTTCTTTTTTCCAATTAAGTCTGCTTCTATCGAGGCGAATGTTTCTCAGGTTTAGGAGTTCTTTTTTTTTTGTAAATGTTACCAGTGTAGTTTTTGCTGAATTTAGATTCACCTCCATACGGTCTCACACTATTCCTTCGCGGTTCGAAGTGCTTTTTCTATAAGGTCGCAGAGTATTCCTTCGCATTTGCCTTTGGTCATGATGACAATATCAAGCAAGTGAAGCCCTGATCGGTCAATAAATTTAGAAGGTCGTCAACCATTAGACTCCACATCAAAGGTGGGAGTACCCCTCTCTGCGGACATCCTCTAGTGGTGGTGACCTGTATGGTTTGTTCACCCACATCAGTTTCTGCAGTTCTGGTGGCTAGCGTTTCGCACATCCAGGTGGATGTTGGTTTTGTCCACTCCTTTTTTGACGGGCGCATTCTTTATTGACTGATGAGAGGTGTTAACAAATGCCCCCTCTATGTCCAAGAAGGCGCAGACGGCTAAGCATGCTGCTTAGGATGTAGTGGCGTCTTCTCTAAAACACTTGTTCTGATGTAGTTATCTACAACTAACTCGGCTGTTTTGAGCAAAAACGACGTGAGGCATATGGGTCTGAATGACTTCGAAAGAGTGGCGTCTCTTTTCCCTGCCTTTGAGATGAAAGTTACTTTAGCTCTCCTCCATTGACTGGGTATGTATCCGGTCGCTAAGCTCTATCTTATGAGTGCAAGGTTCTTGGCAACCTCCCAGTTTTCTTGCCTGGTTTGCCTGGGCCGCCCTTTGTTTTTCTTCAGTATCATTGAATGTGCTTCCTGGAAAGTGAGTTTCCAGTCGTAGAGCAGCTCGTTGTTCTTCATTTTTTGTGTACCTACCGTCTGGTCAACGAACCTCAAATCTATGTCGTGACAGGTGACTGTTCCACCATGGGCAACCATTTTTGTTTACTTGTTCTTTCACGGGACAGCTGGATTCGTATGCCTCCATGATTGCTCCGTTAAGGATCTGAGGGTTTCTTCTACTTCACGTATATTCTTGCAGCTAAAATAATTTTGTTCGAGTTTGCATTGCAGTTTGGTTGTGTATTTTTCCCAGTTTGTATTTCTGGGGTTCCTATACGAAGTGGTTCGTTCCTGCACTTCTTTTACGTCAAACATTATGATTCTGTGATATGTATGATCCTCTCCACTGCTCGTTTTGTAGTTTGCAGTTTATTGACAGATTTTCGAGTAATCGACATCATTTGAAATCCATATGAGAGTACCGGCAGCACTCAGAACTAAAAAAAGTTCCTTTTAAAATTCATAGGAAAATCCTTGTCGATAGCTGCCCAAGAGTGCCCTATTATTTTTTGAGATCTTGGAACATTGGTGTCCTTTACAGATATTGAAGTTTTTGATTTGCTTTGGAATCAATCCTGGCGTCATTCAATGATTTAAGTATTGCCGTCGAAAACCTTCTGGTGTTGGCAAAGTGTTCATTATTGTTTCTGTTAACAGCGTATACAGATGTGATCACAAGCTGCTAGGACACTAGTTTCCTATGTTGTGTTTGTCTGTTTTCTTGTATATTAGAATGAGTTCTACATTTTGCCACTCGTTTGGAATCTTTCCTCCTATTAGTATACATACCTATTTAGCTCACCAAATTTCATTATGCTTCCTAGCTGCCAAATTTTACAAACCAAAGACTGCTTACCTTTTCTGATCCCAGCTTAGGGGAGAATCAGTGCTTTTAAATGTTGAATACATAAATTCAGTAGTAATAGTATATTCTTCAACGAGCATATAATGATGGCTATTATTCACGAGCCGAAGGCGAGTGTTGGAATAATTCGAGTGCATAATAGCATTATTTGCGAGTAGAAGACTATACTTTCTCTTTGAACTCTTTGAAAGAAAATCATTAATTTTTGTAAGAAATAACAATCATCACAGTTTAAACCCGCTTTAATTTTTTTAAATTGAAAGTTTCGTGATCTGACAGTAGACGTCAGTCATGTTTTGTTTGTATGTCTCGTTGCGGCCCGTGTATTCCGAAAATACGGAGAATTTGATTGGTCGATAGGCCGTGGATTCCGGTTTGGAATTCACGGGGCGTGGCAGAATTCGTATCATTAATCAGTTTAATATCGAGCAAGAATTAATCTATTACTTAATGTTCGAACAGAAATAAAATAATATTAATAAAATCATGTATGTACTTATATTGCAGATTATTAAAACAGGCCTTGCACAAGCATTATTAATTAAGCACCAACAATAATTTTATATTAATTTGATTTAGTGTTGGCGTTCTCTTATTATTAATTTTACGAGTATTTTAATACTCATATAAAGCACGTTTATATAGTACCAAAAATATTATACCTATACTTTAATTAAAGGAAATGATGGAAAAACAACAAGAAATATACCCACTCTCGCATTTTAGCTGAAATTCATAATAATTAAATACCTACATCTGCGAATTTATTAAATTTGATATTATTTTTATTTGTTTTTGCTATTTCTGCTGGAAACAAAAGGTTGTACGAATATATCGACTGAATTTCTCTGAAAACGAATTTATGATTACACAGTTCAAATGAATTAAAAGTTAATTGAATATACGGCATTACAGCAGTTTTAGCACTGCACGATTTATATTTATTTATTTTTCTATTGAGATTCGAATATTTTGACACAAGCTCTAAATAATTGTAGAGGTAAAATAAATATTGAATTTTCTTCGAAAATTTGTAGAACAATAACAAAATGCAATTTCCTCAGAAACCCTAAAGGACTATAAATTCTCATTAGGTATGACGTCAAGCTATGCATCTGATCAGAATTATTTTACGATGGCATATTGGCTATAATGTTGAAATACTATTGAATAAGTGCGCGTAAACAGAAAAATAAAGGATACAAAAATGAATCTGCACATTATCCACTGATTTATCCATTCATGTAATAAAATTTAATAATTATTATAAAACTCTAGTGACTACGTAAACTAATCTACAGCAAACATAGAAACAAAACATACACTTACGCTTACCCCAATGATGGCATTCAGTTCTGTCATGGTAACTTGTTTTGCCCTTTCGACAGCACTGGCAACTTGCTGTTGATGTTCTTGTGCTAGAAACGGCATCACTTGTGCTATAATGGCGTTAAGTCGTTTGGCTATCTCAGTCTAGAAATAATCACACAATTTATAACTAAATATGGCACAAATTCTATGTTTGTAAAAATAATATTTTCTACTTTTAAAAAGAAAGCATCAGAGAATAAAAAGTAGAAAAATACTCTTACGCGATTCGAAAATCATTTGTAGACTCTTTTGATTAAATCCCTGAATAGACATAAATAAAGACTCCATCGAAATACAGAAAAATAAAATTTTGCCTCAAAGTATGAAAGAATTGAGATTTTATAATTTGGAAAACTCAATCGCTCCTCCCTCAGTGCTGAATTTAGAGTTCTAATAAGACCCTAAAGCAAAAAGAGCGTGGCTTATAATTATGCATCAAAAAATGCACTGGATGTAAAAATATTTGCATTTTTCTTTTTGCCGGATTATTTGCTCTCAAGTCTGCATATTCACCCATGTGATTTTCAAAAGAGAATTGAATAGGTACTTTATAAAAAACTAATATGTCCGGATCCAAATCGGTTGTGTGTAGTGGTCTTCTCACTTAAGTGATGAGTAAGAAAGAGAGGGAGGACACTACTATGAAACACAACTTTTTTCATCGCCATGATGAAACACGTCGTTCTAAAACCGAAGTGTGTGATAGAAAAACACGACGGTTTTCATCGCCACGATGAAACACGTCGTTCCGTTCCATAACCGGAGTGTGTGGTAGAAAACCGTTCGTGCGTACGAAATGTTGAACTGTCGTGCCAAAAATCAAGTTCGGATTGAATTTTAAACCGACGATGAAACACGACGGTTTTCTACCACAAACTTCGGTTTTGGAACGACGTGTTTCATCGTGGCGATGAAAACTGTCGTGTTTCATCGCAGTCTGTGGGGCCCTGTAGAAAACCGTCGTGTTTTTCTATCACACACTTCGGTTTTAGAACGACGTGTTTCATCGTGGCGATGAAAACCGTCGTGTTTCATCGTAGTGTATGGGGCCCTTAAGGGCTCCTGCCAGAATAACTGGAAGAGGCCTGGCGGATGAATGTTAGCTAATTGAAGGCTAGAGGAAGGCTCTTAAGGTTAGAGGTTGAGGCGATAGACCTGAAAAAAATTACAAACGACGCAGCAGAGAAATGGTTACCTATTGGTAAAATGGAACATCCAAGGCCTGGAAATCTGCATTTTATGTAAAAAAAAGAACCTATGATATCTATAGATTATTTATAAACCAAACAATTATTATTTCGAAGGGACATAATTAGATCACCCTGTACCTACTTAAATAATAGTATTAAGGTCAAGTTCTGGAAAAGTAAAAGAGCTTGACATTTTTCTCCGAACCCCCCCCTCCCCGGCCCCACCTAACTTTACCCCCCCCCCCCCAGAAATGTAAAGTATCTGCGCCCTTGCCTTACAAAAGGGGCAATACAGCAAAAACCCGCCTTGAAACCCGCCTATTCAAAAGTGTATGTGGACCAAGCTGAATTTCTAGATCTAGAGAAAAATGGTTATGGAGACATCCAGACGATACAGCATCCAGATAATCTATACCTACATATGCAGGGTGTTTTGTACATCGATAAGGAGATTTCAATGAGTGATAGTTGGGGTCATCTAGAAGCCATATTAACCCTCAGTATTGCCATTTTTAGATATTTTGAATCCATGTATTTTAACACAACTTGGGCTACATATTTTTTGTATTAATCATTCGGTTTTTCTGCATATTAGGAATATCGGAAAAAAAATGAAAAAGGTTAAAGTGTTCACTGCCAAAAAAAAAAAAACATTTCAAATATTTCCCAAAAATTGAAAACTTCCTATCGATGTACCAAACACCCTGTATAAAAGACGAAATATGTCTGTGTGTCCAGAAGGTTCACCTATTTCTAGATGAGCTAGAAACACGAAATTTGGCACAATTATAGTGGTTTATAGTCTTATCGAAGAAAAATTATCACGTGAAAATTCCACCCCTAAACCCTCTTCGAGAGGGATGAAATGCCTATTTTTTCTTTATCCAGTTTTACACTATAAAACGCCACTTTAAAATGTATCATTAATTTTAAATTCTACCCCTGTAACCCCCCAATAGGGTTTTAAAACTGCTATAGCTCTTTAATATCCCTAAAACCACGCAATACCGAATAAATAATATAATGACGCGTTTCAGGGTTTTCGGATTTCCACATTTCAAATGTGGGAAACGGGAGCTGAAGGTTGTATGGGAGTATATTTGGTTTTTAAACACAACTTCACGCGTGCAAAGCCGCGAGCAATCAGGCTACTTCAACTATATGTGCATCCAAGTAACGCTGATGATGAGGAGGTGCAACATCTATACGACGACATGTCACTAGCACCAGAAAAAAGGAGATGGGAGGTGTCTATACATAGTTAAAGATCATAATGGGCGACTTTAATGCTGAAGTAGATAGAGACAACGTGAACGTCGTGAACGATATCCAGTACAGGCGATCATTCAAAACACTGTTTCGCTGTTATCACAGAACTTTACAAAGATTTATTTTTCTCATTGACAATGGTACTTTTGCAATCATTGAAAATTTCTCACCAGGTAAGTGACCTTGTTCATTGAGTTTTAATTGGACTGTTATAGTACATAGTGGTTTTATATTTTCATAGGTCTCTAACTTATGGAATCATAGTCATAGCCTATTATTAAATATATTAAATTCTTACCTGTTTGTGCATTTCTACATTAAGGCCATAAGACATTTCATAGTACTGAAACAAACAAAAAAATCAATTAATAAAAGCGACACAACATTTTTGATAAATTCAAGTACACTTCGTACAAATATGTCTATCGCAATATGAACTATGAATCAACATGCTTCAAATATAATACTTAAAAGTCAAGAGTAGGTATATTATGTCTAAAGTGTCGTATCAGAGTACAAGTGCTTTATTAGCAAGCTTTATTTAAACCTGTCTGCTGCAAAAAAGGCTACTCATATCTTGTCCATATAGTCAAATTCTAATATAAGCAAAATAATATTTTCCAAGAATAAGTTCAGTCAATGCCCTCAATATAATAATAAAATGTGTCCACTAATCAACTACAACTAAAAACGAACCTCAATTCCCAAATACACGCACCGTTCATATATGCGTGTTTGATGTTCAGTTGAAAAGCAATTATACTCTCTATAAAAGGGGGAGAGGAAAGTGATGCCCAACGGACCCTTTTTCTGATATCGCCACCCTTCGCTTCCTTCCCCCATTAATAACTTTAAGCACGTTGACCAAATAATAAAGCCCCTAGCTAAAATACACTCCCGTGTTCCCCCTCTGGCTATGATTATCCTCTAGGACAAATAATAAGGTTTTTGTCCTATTTTGACCCTCCATATAACAATGAACTGAATTTTAATGCTAGTGTTACACAGTTGCACCACTCAGATTTAGGGGTTTATAATGGGCTTAGATAGCATGTGCCTTATTGAATAAAAAAAATTACCGATAATAGTTAATTATAAACTATGATTAATTTACAAGTTTCCGACACTATTGACTCTAATTCCGCTATTAGTCGAACTTCTCCAAGTAGCATCTAATGACTGTTTGAAACGGGCTTGTTCATTACGTCACTACCAACACGGGGGTAGCTATTTCAATAATGGCAATAAGCTCGTGTTCGTAAAGTCTCCGACTAGGAGGTGAAACTAATTCCGGTTACCCCATTATCTAAATATCTGACTGAAACCGCCCCCAACAACTCTAAGTAGGAGGAGAAGTTGGAGCTAATATTGTTTTCATGTAACAATCTAATACTCGAATATTGTACCCGTGTCACGTCCGTTCCGACCCCGCTTGGGGAATTAAACCCTCTTTTGCTATTCGACGGAAAAGGGTGTCATCTCATCTGAACCGATTATCCCTTGAGCATAAATCTTCACTCTCAGGAATAAATAATTATGTTGAAGAAAATTCAAAAATAAAATATAAATATTTATAGCCTGTGATACCCAAGAAAGTTCTAGCAAAGTAAAAATTAAACGAGTTATCTATAAATAATTATTATATAAACACTGAAATTAATTGAAATGCGTAATTTTCTTTACTTCCATTGAAATTAGAATAGGTATTTTGATGTTCGCAAAGCTACATTGGCAAATCAAAAATATCATAATTCTTAGCCAGTATATACCTTACAGGGTGAATTCAGAGGAGAGTGCCAAATTTCGGGAGTGTGTATGACATCTTGAACGTTAAATATACAAAAGTTAAATCATTACAATAGGTTTTCGAATGCGTCTCCATGGACCGATATTTTTTGGATCGTTTGTTGTGAAAAGCGCTTGGGGACGAATTACAAGTTTTACCTTTTCTATGTATGTATTCCATACACTCCCGGAATTTGGCAAAGTTCTCTCGACCCCTGTGTATAAAATATGTATTTCCATATTTGAACAAAAACCCAAAATTCAACAATAGCCTGCCCCAGAGAGGCAACGAAGCGAAATCCTTCTAAAAGGATAAGGTAATTATAAGGGTAGCACCAAAGTCTGTAGCACCAACCGCAAGGGCTCCCGATCCGATGCAATCAATTTAAGGTCCCTTTAGGGCCTTGCTCGCCTCCTTGTTGGCAGTATCCACTTCATGTTTATAAACAGGCATTAACTAACGGCACCTTTATTGGATTATTACGTGGCGTTTTACTGGGTAACAATTCAGTAATTATGCCTTTCTGTATTAATAAATGGTGATTTTGGTTAATCGATGACTATTGACCATAATATGAGAAGGTTTTAAATAGAAATACAAACCATATAATATGTCCATATTCCATATATTTACTTGCTGAAAACACACAATCGTAAATCATATGTTCAACTTCAAGTTCTCAGATAATTTTTTAATTAACCATCAAAGCCATTCGAAAATAATACTAATAAGAAAAATACACGTTTCAAATTGGTTCTCAATAAAACAAATAAAAATTTAACTACTGGAGTTAAGTAAATTTATCGTTGTTTGAGGAAAAACACTGGGCTGCGATTAAAGTGCTATTGATTTCGCGTTTCTATTTTATTATTAAAACGTCCCAAGTCCGACCCGAATACTTTTGATTATTTAAAATATAGATTCGTTTTAATATTTCAGGTACTTAAACCAGTTTAATTTTTAAAAAAATAGGTTTGACTATTAAGCTTAAGAAATGGAGGTACAGAAAGTTGGTTATCCAATAAGATTGCGTTTTTTTTTTTAAATTGGCATACGGTTTCCTTTTGGATATAAATCTCTCTCAATTCTCGCTAGTGAACTCTATTTTGAGCCCCTTGTCTTCAGTGTTAGTCCTGCGACTGTTGGTCTGGAGTCGTCATTCCATCTTATCTGTGGACTTGATCTGTGCCCAGAAACTGATCTCTATTGTATTAGTTCTGAGTTCCATCCAAGTGTTCCTCTTTTTGTCGGAGAATCGTGTGTTCAGCTTTATTCGCCTCATGACTCTCTGAGTCGTAGATAGTTTGTTTACATTGTTTTTCGGTAATCCACCTGACTGTAGTCCTGTAGGCACCTGACTGTAGTCCTGTAGGAAAGTTTGCGTAGGGAGAATTTTTTTCCGTTTAGTAGAGTATTATTAAATATTTTGAGCTTGGGTATGGACTTCCAGCACCTGGTACATTTTACAGCTATGGCGTCATCAAAGATGGCGGCCGTGCTAACACAAATTAGCTCCCATTTATGTTAATACCACATCGATGTATATGAAATTTTGACTTTTCATCACCGACGGTACTACGGAAGGAGGACTAATTACCTCCCTTTATCCCCCTTACCACTTCCTTCCCGAAAACCAAGCCAAATAAATAAACATCAATTTTGTTAATTTTTTTATTGTTGAACCTATCTCCCTACTACCACAGTCCACACTTGCAGAAGGAGCAACAGACCACATCATTTTTCCTACAAATACAGGAGGATTTGGCACATTTTAAACAATCACAATCATGTCAGTAGGGCATTTTCGTAAGGTTTTTTCTGGCACCAATTTATGTCTGCACCAAGTATGTTCTTCCAGATATAAAGCTTTGTTCTATGTGAGCCCAATCAGATGATACGCCAAAGTGTTCCAGATATGCCGGGGATGCACTGTGAAGGGCTGCTTTTTTGGTTCCAAATTTACTCGTATAATCTGACCCAGATAGTGCGTGGGGAGCATAAGTGTTGGCCCATTTTTTGATGAATATCATGAACAGGTAAAAGTCGCGTAGAATCACCAACTCCAGTGCGCGCCCAAAGTTCCTGAACACCAAGTTGATGAAGAGTAGCCCAGTGAAACAAAGCTAACACCATTATGTCAGTGTCAGCACTAACGAAAACGATATTGGTAAATCTACACAAAGATGCATGTTTTGAATAAATCAACATTCTAATGTCTGCCTTCTCTACTGACAAGCAATTTAATTGTGGGTGGATTGCTTTCATTCCACTTTGCACAGATGTACAGCTGAATGATACCTTATCTTCTTCATCACCATAAAACGCACTAAAGATGTGGTTGGTACAACTTGGTGTTCCAGTCAAAGAAGCAATTGAGGTATTAGCAATGAACATCTGCAAGTTCAGTTTGTTCTTTGATGATCCCCAAAAACTGCTGAGTTGGACAGGTAACGAAACATCTTCAGATATGTGGGCAATATCTATAACAATGCCGGTACCGTGTCTTTGCACTCTCTCAGGCTTTTTTGGTGATAGTATGTGATAACTCTCAAAAACATAATCGGCTCCCCCACAATTCTTTGTGATGGCCCTTATGTATGAGGAAAAAGCAGAAACCACCCCGCCAAAAGTAATAATTTTTCATAACTTCTAGTAAAGAATTCATTACATCCACTATATAACATGTCCTGTCATCAGATTTGAATAAGTTGTCGCTGCCAGTGCTCACATACGATGTTTCTAACACTTTTACCAATGCACTTTTTTGTGATTTTGTCATTAACCCCTGTTCATTATATGTAGAATGAGCAGGTATCAGATAGATCATACCGGAAAAGCTCTTGCATATCATATGCACGAGCTTGAGCTATTTGTATCATGCGGTAAGATCTTTTTGATAACTTCTCCGGAAGCCTTTGCACTTGGTGTTTTAGTGCTATCAAATGCTGGTAGCATAACTCTGTGTATGGTAGTTGAGATCCTGATTGTTTTGTCTTCGTATCGTGTTTTGTGCAGTGCGCAATAGAATTTGTCACCGATTTCAAATATTTTTAATAATTTTTCCTTTCTATCTTGTGAAACCAGTGCTTCTGTTACCAAATTGTGTAATGGATTAGATAGCATATTAAATGGGTTACCTTTTTCTGCAATATATTTGAACATTGAGGTCACCTTTGCTCTGTGTTTGCTTTTTAGAAAACTCATGGTGGATGTTTAAACCTTCGACGAAAGCAATGAAGTTTGTTATTTCTCGAAATAGATTCGATATCATGAAACGCTCATGATGTGTTATCTCCCATTCTGCTACAAATTGTTTCAGTTAAGTACGCCCTACAATGCCAGATGAGCTCTTTTGGGATCTATCAATGGTTTGTTCTAACACCATATCTTCAGCATTCTGAAAATTTATGGTTATAACGTTTAATAACATATGCTTCCCCTTCATAAACATTTGATGCACCTCTGGGGCTATCTGGATTATTCTCCTCATGTCTTCCAAATATAAAGAAGACCATCGCTGATAGTTGATACAGTCAAAGACGGCAAATACTGGTTGA